GCGCCGCGACATAATAGAAAGGGGGAGTTCGTACATAATCTACCTTGTATTGTTTGACACGAATACAAGTTGGTGACAAGGGATTACGGTGATTTATATTATATTTTCCTTCGAGCGGAAAGTTAATAGCCTCTAGCCAATTTGTTGGGAGGCTGTACGGAGGGTAGAGGCTATTTTCCAATCAATTAACCGTTTCTGTTTTTTTTTCTTTTCTAAAAATGAGCACGAGTTATGAAAAAGAAGGCGATCGCCAAGTTGCCTTTCTGCGCCGCCAACACTCGCAATCAGTCGGCACGATTAACGTAGAGATGCGCGAATTGCTCGATGATGTGGTACCATTTGAATCGAGGTAATTGTCACAGTATAAGAGAGATCGTGTTGAGAATTGCAGCGGCTCGGGAATAAGTATGTATTCGGTGAAATGGTTTCGCATTTGCCTTTCATTGTCGGTATAATGGGGTGGTACATATTGCGGCCATCCTGGCAAACCGTCTCGACGCATTGCGTATAATTTCATCGAAACTAACTAGGATATCTGTCGCGATCCAACCAACGCTTCTCTCCCTTCTCCTCTACCCTCCTCTCCTTTTCGCGCTTCCTCGATTCAAGTCTCCGACGTAAATATTAAGTACGAATAATCGGTGTTTTTATGCAACCGTTCTACCTTCCATCGGCGTTTATCTGCTTAAGCAAATTCGTAAATCAGTTCAATTACTTAGACGATAGGAACGGTTTTATGGAAACGTGTATACGTCTAACTTGTAATATAAATTTCTCTGAAAATTTTCAACCACGTGGGCACGATGTATCTAATAATGGAAAAAGTTGCTTGACACGATACGGTACGATATATCAGTTTCCACAATAGCATGTCTCTACAAATGCGTATCAAGCGTTCCATCTACCGCGAACGTAAAGGAATAATGTATAGCAACGTGAAATAATATGGATACAATCAAATTCTGATCGATGTTCGACAAATGCTTGACGCTTTTTCATCTACCGGAAGAGCAATCGATCTATATATATTGTCTAATAGGGTTTTATATTACGGAAAAATATTAGGTAAATATTATGAAATAAAACAAGCTAAAAAGAGAAATCAATGTGTACTTTGCGTTGAGATAAGTAAATTGGTTATGTTTAAGGTTATCTTTGACGATCAGAAGGCGCGTATAAAAATGCACAGGATAAAAGCTGTACTTACATATTTTAAGGTTCGAAGAAGAAGGATTCTTGAAATTTCGTCATCAATTGCAAACAATTAAGTGATATATCGAGAATACGCAATATTTCTTCCAACTACTTCGAAATCTAACCTCGACGAATTAAAAATTCTCACTCGAAATAATTACACGCCTGTACACGATGCGAAATATCTCGATTGTAATAAATGCTTTTGTAACTAAAGCAAGTGCAATAGTAAACACTCCTAATTTCACTAGAATCGGTACGATGAACCAATACACAAAACTAAAACAGCTGATGGCAAAACTGATGTAAACGATGAACTAGCGCTATCTAGTGTCGAACAGATTAAATATTCTCAGCGACTCTGCTATGTTTATTCTGCTCTTTTTCGTGTTCTGTGACACCGTAGCCTGTGCAAATTATCGTGCGTGCAGTCAATCTCTGTCGATTGATTTTACGTTAACATGAGATGGTGTGTTTGTTGACGTTTCCCTTGAAAAATGTTCAGGATAGAAGAATTTAAATGGTCGAACGCATTCGATTCTTCTTTTATCGGATTCAACCGTCACTATCCGATCGTTCGTTATGATTTCTTGGTTAACAACGATGAAAAATATAATCAGGAAGAAAGCAGAATGCATGTTACGCGTACTACCAATAGAACGTTACGTATCTTAGCCTATTAAGAATATCAGACTGGTTTGCGATGACGTAAACTGAATATAAGTCCAGAATATAACACGATGAACAAGTCAAGAATGGGGTCAGATTATATTCCGCTAGTGGAAGACGAAATGTCGAAAGCGCGATTCGTTTTGCCTTTCGCTAAATTAGCCTGGTTCACCGTGTCCCTACCATTTTTAGCATTTATTTTTTGTATCGTTTGGTCCATTCTATACAACTTTGAGCATTCTACTTCTACTCACTGCAAGGTACATATTTATTTACTATTTTCCTTTTTTTCTTTCTACACACTCGAGAACGATGTGGCTGACACACGCGCACGCGCGTATCTGTAACAGTAGACTTTTTTCCTAGGTTTATAATTTTCTACCATCTGTGTCTGCTGCAATTGGACATTATAAACCGCAAAGAAATGTTTGGAAAACTGCGATAGCTATCCAAGCCTTGATAAGAATTTTAGTATTAGTAATGTATCGCCGTTATTATAAAGAACATATCTTCAAATCTGCAGAAAGTATTTGTAATATTGCGACAGCTATATATGCCGTTGAAAACATATCTCTTGTAACGTTAACTTTTTGGACTTCTGATGAAAATTATGGTATGTAGTTGATACACGGTATGTATGGAAAAGTTTCGGATATACAGTAATGCATATTTTTCTCCTACAGCCTTCCATAAATTATCTTTTATAACATTTTTAATAACATCTTTCGTACACATGCTCGTAGTGTACTACATCGTGAGAAATTGTCATATAGTTACCAGGGAACCTTCTGAAACTACTTCCTTAAAATGGAAGCGGAGATCCATGATGTCGAATGTGTTCTGTATAATACTTGCCTGTTACTTTTTTTACAGGCATAATAAGTATTGCGAACCTTTAGGTGAGCTAATTCATTCTGAAGATACCAATCGGAAACTAATATTTATCATATATTTATTATATATTTATTATTATATATTACAGTTTACTCTATGTTTGCGTTAAGCGAATATGGAGTTGTTCTTTCAAATATGGGGTTCCACTCGACTGCAGCTTGGGACTTTGCAAATTCGCGTATTATGATATCAGGAACAGGATTTAGGATAATTTAATGTAATTTTGTACAAAGGTTGGGTTACTCTTAAGAATCTGAAAAGAATATTTTTACACTAGTCTTTTTAAACTACACTTACACGTTTGGAATTTCTTTATCTACTCAACCGCGCAATATCTCGTGTATTATCGATATAATACTGAAAGTGTAATTCGTATCGAATTTTTAAGTTTCCACTGAATTATATGCATATTAATATTTCCGAACAATCAGGATAATTTGCGTGCAATGAAAACATATCTACACACATATATTGTATATACACGTATGTAAAAGAAAAAACGAGGGAAAAGTAAATAAAAGGGAAGGGAAGCAAATAAAACGATACAATTAGCCTAGATGAAAGAACGTTTTTTGCGAAAAAATATGAAGTATCTTTTATTATACAATGCGGCAAATACACGAGTTATAAACAGAGATTATTCTCAGACGTGCATTTTCTACGGATAACACAGTTTCATACATAGCTGCGAAGAACTTAATATTTTTTGAAATTTACTATTCTCTTTGAGATGAAATTTGTTAGACTCGTTAAAATTTGAAGTCAGCATCCAATTTGTCGGCAATGAATTTAGCGATTGCCATAGAGCTTGTTGCGGCTGGTGAAGGCGCGTTGCGACAATGCACTACTCTGGCACCCAGGCTACCTTTTCCTCCGTCGAAAACAAAATCGTCTACCAAGTTACCATTATTGTCCAATGCCTGTGCTCTAACACCCGCTGGTCCTCTGAATAGTTAATCCCGTACAAATAGAGTGATTGAATCAGATAGGATGACTGATATAATGAAATGCGTTAAAATATTGTACTATATTAAATACTCCTACCTTTTAATATCTTTGACAGATACCTCGGGAATAAACTTTTTCAAATCTATCACTGCAAGTGGATAAAAAATTGATTTGATGATTTCTTTGCAACCTGGTATAAAATATCGGAAACAGAGCTTGTACAATCCAGGGAATTTCGCCATTTCTAAGCAGTCTTTTATGTTCACGTCACGCCACCTAAGAATATATAAACTAATTGTTATGCGGTCGAGTGGTACAGTGTACAGGGGGGAAGACTCGGGTGATTCATCACGTACCGGTAACCCTCTCTGGCAAATGCTAAGACGGCATTTGGCCCAAGCCATATTTCACTATTCATTCTAGGTGTGAAATGAACGCCCAGAAAGGGGAATCTGGGATCCGGAACAGGGTAAATATTTGTCGTACATAAATGCTTTTTGTTCTCACTCAGTAATAAGTATTCACCTCGAAATGGAACGATTCGTGGACTGAGATCGCACCCTGTCATTACTGCTAGCCGGTCTGAATGCAAACCAGCACACGTTAACACGTATTTCGTTGGTACACACTGTAAAAATTTTGCGAATCAAAGATAAGAGGGAATGTACGATTAAAATTAACGATAGATCAGACGTACTCTATCCTTGGACTGCACCGAAATTGGGGCCAATTCACCTTTTCCTTTGGATTCTGTCATCTCCGAGAAACCGGTAACTTCATAATTCAAAAATATTTTGCCGCCCATCTTTTCAAAATCTTGGGCGAAATGTTTACAAACCAATGCCCAATCAACTATACCCGTCCATGGCGACCACAATGCCTTTTCACCCTGTACAGTACCATATATATTTCCTATTGTTCTTTATACGCGTGAAAAATTTTGTTTTCTTTTTCTTTTTCTGTTTGTTCGATAAAAATGATTTCAGTACTTGACATTTAGGTTCGTATTTAGATATGCAGTCTTTCTCGACTAATTGAAGATCCGGTACGTTATTTTTTAGTCCCCGATCGTACAAATCGTCCAATCTTTTAACCTGGTCTTTGTTCTGAGCCACTATGAGTTTTCCAACTTTATTGTGGGGTACATCGTGTTTGCAGAAGTATTCGTAGGATAATTTTAAACCTTCCACACATAGTTTTGCCTGCAATCATTTCCTGCCGGATCAAAAATCTCTTAACGAAGCGTTATTCTATTATGCAGTTAAAAATGCGACAGATAATATCTTTCAAAAGTAAAAAGACGCGTTAAGGAATAGACAATTGCTGCTGTTTCGTTTTACTTTCATACTGCCAGGTTTGTAATAAATGCCAGCGTGTACTACACCACTGTTATGTCCCGTCTGATGTTTAGCCAGAGCGTTTTCTTTCTCGACGATCACCATCTTTAACTTGGGATGCCTGATCATCATTTCTCGGGCAGTGGCGCATCCAACAATGCCACCCCCAACAATAACTAGATCGAAGGGGTCGCATGAATCTGTGCTGAAAAATAATTCGTACCGTTGGAGAATAGGTGGGTAGGCAACGTTACGAAACGACGAGAAGAAACAGGATTACATCGTATAATATGTTATAGGTCGGAAATTGGATAAATCGACTAACCTGGAGGTAGATCCACAACGACGAACAAATGCTAGCTGTTGTAACAAAGTCCGTTTTGTCAAAGGTGCAAGCATCTTTGCTTTCTTTTTTCTCACTGTGATAAATCGGGATAAATTTGTCTAGAAAGGAAGCAGCAAAAATATGAATTTGTCGGTTAAAACTTGTAAAAACGAAGTTCCCATTGGCTATGGGATGGTCATTGTGTAACCGTAACTCTTTCAATTAATTCAAATTGATAATTGGACATTGACATTTCGTGCTACTTAAACCGTAATTAAAGTTTCGGTGAAAAAAAAAACGGGGCGTGTCGTACGATGACACGTATTTTTAGGCTGGATCGGGTTTAGAAAATCGATGTTTTCAAGAAGTAATTTTATACGCAGAAATTTCACTTGAAGTAAGAGACCGTAGAAGAGCGTTAACTTGGACAGCACGTGCCACGATGTGCTTATATAACGTATGTAAGGAATGCTTCAATTAACCCTGTAGCATGACCATGTATTACCGTGCTACTTTAAAGGCACGTGCGTTAACTGACAAAGATAGAAGAAATAAACGTGCGACAAAATATGGCATCGTCTCACCTGCAAATTTTTCTAAAGAGTATCATTTCACACAGTTTTTTACGCGAAGGACGACACCTCGAACATTTTCTCGCTTACCGAATAGAAGAAATGTACAAATGTATAAGTATGTATGTAGATCCAACGTGAATTTTCAGTGTTGGGGCACAACGTCGCTTGGTAAAGTCGTATTATCTAGTACGTGGCGCCTCCACGTACTTCTTCTCACATCGTTCAATTTGGCGATGACGTTATTACCACTAAACGAATTTGACGTACCGTAATACGCCGTCAGAAGTCGAATCGACGAAGAAAAAAAGAAGCACGAATAGATCATTGTTTCTTCTCGAATATTTCTACATTTATAGTGAAATGACTTATTTTTCTTTGACTCGTTTCTTTGACGTAGCAAACTAAAATAGTATTCGTATTCTCTCGTATTCGTCCTTTTTCCACTTCGTCTGAAGATTTTGTATCTTTTGTTAAATGGGAAAACACAAGAGGAAGAAGATGGGCGAGGATAGGAAAATAAGTATGTAGATGGTGAGAATTTGTCAAATGATATCGTTTTCCTTCGCGATTGAAAGCTCTCAAGTGTAAATACTGAAAGAATCGATCGACAGGAAGTAGGAAGGAAACGTTTACGTTACAACGAGTTTTGTTAATAAAATTCCCGCGAAATTTGTTTAAAGTATAACAACAAGACTGGAGGAAAGGATAATTGATAATAACTGATATTTTTTAAGCCGGACATGTACGAAAGGTCTCCATCGTTGGTAATACATCGTTACAGATGTGAGCACACATATCTGCACGTACTTGGGCATAGAAGAAAGGTGAAATGTGAAAAATAAACGGTGTTCAGAATGGTAGGGCAGCAGACGGCACGAGCCGCCCCTGAGCGACGATGCGCGATCGTGATGCGCAAAGGTACTACGGCGTCAGGAGTCAGTCAACCCGGTGACGTCTGGCAGTGTGTGTCGTGTGGTGAAATTGTCGCCTTGGTATTCGAAGGGAAATTGAAGGGAAATAAGAAATTGACACGTATGGAGAAGTGAACGGGAGTGAATCGCGTAATCGTAATAGTAATTGGAAGGTGAATCTGGTAGAGTGGCATTAAAGGTGGAGTAGAAGGAGATAGGGGAGTTGCGCTGGGGCGTCCCTTGCAAATTGGATCGGTGTGTCATGTAGAGTGAGTATTTTCACGAAGATTTCCATGCGATGTACGTGCAATCGATGGGCGAAGGATAATCGCGTGAACGGAGGTGATTCGATTCGAAAATGTATCACGGAGGGTAATAGTCGCAACGAACGAACGAATCGAGAAGACGCCATCGGAGGAGAATTGCTAGATATTCTTACGAGCAAATAGGGTCAGGCGTCAGAGTTTTTGCTCGCTTACCGCTAAACGAGAATCGTGATAAAACAGAGAGAGAGAGAGAGAGAGAGAGAGAGAGAGAGAGAGAGAGAGAGAGAGAGAGAGAGGGAGAGAGAGAGAGACGTATGGAAGGCTAGGCGTGGAACGAGAGGCAAGTGAGAAAAAAGAAATCGCAGCGTAGTAACGCGAACGAACCAGCGCGGAGGCTGGAAGAGAAAAGCGATCGAAAAAGGAAGAAGAAGAAAAGGGAAAAATAGAGAGAGAGAGAGAGGGAGAAAGAGATCGTGCGGTGTAATAAGAGGGAGTAAGAGAGAGAGAGGGTGGTCGACAAAGTCGAAGGAGGCGCGCGCGGCCTCTCTTCGGGAGACGAGAGAGACGAGTGGAGTCGAGGATGGAGGACGAGCTGCGATGTCCTTGTTGCAAGGAGCTGTTCGTGGAGCCGGTGCTGTTGCCCTGCTGGCACGCTCTTTGTCTGTCGTGCGCTGTTAATCTGCAAGCACCGCCTGACTCGCCCCCAGAGTCGACGACCGATTCGTCGAATGCGCCGGGCTCCGATCAGGAGGCTGATAAGCTCTCGATACTATCTGAGACAGATTCCGGAGTGGTGTGCAGCAGCACCTCGACGAGCTCGCGACCCGGAAGCTATGTCGGCACACCCGGAAACGGAGGGTTTCCTCCGTCAGGCGGCACCTTGTGCCTCTCCTGTCCCGTTTGTCAGAAGACCGTTTATTTCGACGAAGGCGGAGCTCACAATTTGCCCAAGTACAGGGCGATGCAGCATATCGTGGAGAAGTATCTAGAGTCGAAGAACACGAGATTGCAGTGTCAAATGTGCGAGGGCGAACCACGAGATGCTACCGTCGCTTGTGAGCAATGCGAGGTCAGTAGACTCCTTTCTTCTTAGCAAATTTTTGGCGCGCTGTTTTCGAGTCAGCGTTCTGTTTACTACCGCGGTAGGTTGTGTACGGAACGTTGTTAATACGTAACAATCAATACAATCGTATAGAATACGTATAGAAGAGTGGTGCGTGTGATCGTTCCAGGTGTTGTATTGCGACGGATGCAGAGAATCGTGTCACCCGAAGAGGGGACCTTTGGCGACGCACAACCTGGGCCCGCCACGAGGCAGCTGGCAATCGAACGGCGGAGGCAAAGGTTCCCGCGGCCCGGTCGGCGAAACTACGCCGCTCTGTGCCGATCACAACGGTGAACCTTTAACCCTTTACTGCGCCCTTTGCAAGATCGCGATATGCGCTCTGTGTCTACGGGATCGTCACGCCACACATCCGCACGACGTGCTGCCGCTCGCCGCCGCTTGCAAGGCTCAAAAGGTAAAGCCTTATTCTTACTACGGCCGAAGATATAAGGGGCGACCTTGACGAAACTGGTTCCAAGTCCATTCACGGGGAACTCGAGTTGATCGGTAACTTGGGAACACCTGCTCGCTCCTCGTAATCTAGAATTACCATCGAAATATCCGAAATTGAATGCGTAGCCGATGTCTCGATGGTGATAGTACGGTGATCGAATCGTTCTTCTCGTTCGAAAAGGACTCGAGTGGATTTCGAGGAAATTGGTGGAAAACTGAAAGGGCAGGGCAGGGTCGTTGCCGTTTTTTTATTTACTCTGGTCCGATTGTCTAACCGATGGTAAAAGCATAATCAAGATCGTGATCTTGCGCTAGATGGAAAATAGGAATGGAGAATTAGGAGGCGAGAATGTAGGAAAGTGCAAGGGGGGCGCGAGAGAGGCTACAAACGAAAATAGTTGTTGGAACAGTGCCAGCCTTTGATACGACGCCGTATACGCCGTATACTTGTACTCTGTAAATAAAGAAAAAGCGCGTGTTACTTGTTCGTTTCCAAGTATAAATAAATAGTTTTACTAATTAATTGGCGAGAGCGTGGTTGGTTACCAAGGAGGTACGGTAATTGGCGAGTGTAGGATATGTTAAATATTTATGGCAGCTAGGGTAGGGTAGTTTCGTACGCAAGGACGAAAAACGTCCGTCTAGCACTCTTCTCTCCCCTTCTATTATTCTCCCCGTTTCATCTCCTAAAAATATCATCGCGACAGCTTGCAAAGCTGTTGCTCTCGGAAGACACTCTCGAGCGGCGTCGCATTTCGCGTGAACGTTTCGTTTCGGCGGATAAGTCGAGGAAGCGAAATCTCGTCTCGATGAATGGGACGCGAAAGAGAGCGAGGAACGTCGCATAGAATCGGGGGGGAATGGTGAATGAAAGGCGAAGGAACGAGGATGAGTCATGGTGTTAGGAAAGGGGTCGAGGGGAATGCAGCAGCTTGGTACGTATTTGCGCATGGCGTCGAGAATGGCCGATTAAACTTGTTTCAAACCTTATTTTCACGGATTCAGAGGCGGGGTGTAAATTTTCAGCGATGTGACGATTTCGCCGAAGCGAGTATAAAAGTTGAAATGCGTGCGTGCGTGCGTGCGTGCGTGCGAGCTGGGTGGAAATTTTCTATGGATCGATGTTGCGCGCGTGTGTGTAGAAGCGTCGGTAGCGGAGTAAGTTGGACTCGGGTCAGAGCCCCTCGCGAGGGGTTCGTCCCTTTCGTATCAACGCGAAATACGAGTGCCTCGTGACCACGCTTCGGCAATTATCTGGTACTTTGGTCGATTCTCGCGGACATATTGCCCAACTTGCCCGCTATGTACATATATCCAAGCGTATTCAAAGTGGACGCACCAGCGATGATTTTTTCCACGCTACTACACCACCGTGCCCCTTCCCTTCGCCCAATATTTTCTTGGCGCGAGTATGTTTATACCTGTAACGGAGGAGAAGAAAATAGGGGCTGCTCGAGAAGGAGCCGTACGGTGCAGCGTCGAACCGAACGGATGCGTAAACGCGCGAAAAGAAGCAGAGGAAAGTGCAGCTGTTGGAGGCTGATGCAGTCTACGATTCGATTAATCGACGCAACAATCGCTCGACGTCGTTTACGAGAACGAATTAAGTTGGTCTGTACTCGTTAGTTGTGCGTTGGGTGGAGGGGTTTAGACAGAGGACAGAGAGCCCACGATCGATTCGCCTCGAAAGCGTCGCTCTCCTCCGCTTCGATTCGGAACGCATCTGGAACGCCGGGCTACGTCGCGTCTTATTTTCCTCTGTTTCCTAGTATTCGCCCGGTCTAGTGCATCGAAAGATGCGTAGACAGACAGACAGACAGACAGACAGACAGACGGACGGATGGGTGGAGAGGAATGGTGGGAACTATCTAAAATGAATATCGTTTCACGCGATTACAGACGGAGCTCTCGCAAAATTTGCAGCAGCTGTCGGAAAGGGCTCGCTCGACGACCGAATTCATTCAGAGGCTGAAAGGAATGACGGACAAAGTGCACGTGAGTTGGGCGGGTTGGGCGTTCCTTTTAAATTTCCCCTCCTTTCCATGGGTTTTTCGCGTATTGTGTCAACAGGAGGAGTGCGTGGCGTTGGAGGAAGAAGTGGAAGATAGAGTGGCGAATCTGGTGAGTTTCCTGCAGGCGAGAAAGACTCGGTTGATCGAGGCGGCTCGACAGACCAGAGAGGCGAGGGTGCGCTCTTTGAGGGACCAAGTGGCTAGGTGCGCGTCCCACCTACAGGCGACCACGGCACTCCTCACCTTCTGCATCGAGGCCCTGAAGGAGACGGACAGCGCGGCCTTCCTTCAAATTGGCGGCATGCTCTCGGTGAGGGCCGCGACCGCCGCCGGCTCGTGGGGCGGTGCCGAGGGAGTGCAAGAGATCGCCAGACTGCCGCTGCTCGATCTCACCCTCGACGACAAGCCGTTGCGACGAGCTATCGATCAACTCACCTTTGTTCAATTGAAACGTAAGCAGCTCTTTATTCTCTCCCTTCCTCTCTCTCTCTCGCTCTCTGTGCGATTCGTCGAAGATGCGACGTCGAATCTAAACGATTGTCCCGTATTGGACGCAGCCTCCGAAGGAGAAGACCGATACCCGATTGCAGGTAATTAACCTAACCTACTAAAGTATTGCGAGTAGGGCTTTGCTCTACGGTGGTGGGTGTTAAGGTTAGGTTATTTCGAGTCGCGAAAAGATGTGATTTCGAAAGAGATCGAGCTAGGAATGTTTCTAGCGCCTGGTGCCCCGATATTAATACCGGAAGAGTGTAGCGCGGAGAACAACAGCGTGACCGTAGCTTGGCAGCCTCCGCCTGGCCACGGAGTCGTCGGTTGCGCCGGTCAAAGGGGTCCCGCGATCGAAGGCTACCTCTTGGAACTGGACGACGGATGCGGCGGAGAATTCAGGGTAAAGGAAAATTCGGAAGCGAAAGGGACGATCGGAGCGTAATTGTTATAATATATTGTGTACGTGTTTGGCGGTGTGTTTCGATCAGGAAGTGTACTGCGGTAGAGAAACGATCTGCACCGTGGACGGATTGCACTTCAACTCTCTGTACAATGCCAGGGTGAGGGCATTTAACAGCGCCGGGGAAGGCGAGTATTCCGAGTTGATCGGTCTCCAGACTGCCGAGGGTGAGTCTCACAGTTTGGGGAATATTGAGGCGACGGAGGATAAATCTATCGTTTTGTTGGACAGTCGCGTGGTTCTCGTGGGCGACCGGGGCTTCCGGTATACCGCAGGAGGTGTCAATTTCCGAGGACGCTATGAGCGCGTCCTGCGAGGGCTACGAACACCGAGTCGTCCTCTCGAGCGTCGGATTTTCACGGGGCGTCCACTACTGGGAGTTGACGATCGATCGTTATCACAGCGACACCGACCCAGCGTTCGGTATAGCCAGGGCGGAGGTGTCGCGGGATCGAATGCTCGGTGAGATAGTGGTTGAAAAGGGATGAAAAGGGGGGAGGGAAATGGTTGAAACGGTCTGTTTCGATTCTCGCAGGCAAAGACGACAAAGGTTGGAGCATGTACATAGACCGGCAGCGTTCTTGGTTCATGCACGGCGGAGGACACGCGCAGAGGACCGAGGGTGGCGTGCAACAGGGTTCGACGGTGGGCGTCCTCTTGGATCTGGACACCACTCACACGCTTCGCTTCTTCGTGAACGATCAGCCGCAGGGAGGGATCGCGTTCCGGGACCTCTACGGCGTCTTTTATCCGGCCGTCAGCCTGAATCGAGGGGTGACGGTTACTCTGCACACGGCCTTGGACGTGCCTCGTCATCTGCTGGCGCTGCACGAAGAGTACATGACCGACACGATTCAGAGCTAGGGGTACCTGACCGTCCTGAAGAAGGGCCTGTTGCAGGAAGTCGGCTCGCTCGGTTCCCCCTCCTCCACCGGGAACGCCTCGCCGAGAGAATCGAAGAACGGTCAGCTGGAGAAGATCGTGGAGGAGAGCCTCGGTGAGAGCAACTCACTTTCATCGAATTCCAACTTTCTTCTCAACTTTCTTCGTTTGTTTGTTCCACAGGTATCGAGGAACGGCTCGATATACTCTCTTTCGAAAACGTACTTTGTCGGTTCTCGGGAAAATCGCGAAATTAGCTCCCGATACGCTCCTTCTGTTTTCGTATCGAGGGGGGGAATATATCGATCACCTAGGATTCTAGGT